TTATTTACACTGACCTATCTGTAGGATACTCCAATTGATCTTCGATCCTCACAAGAAGCTGATACACACAGAAACCGTTTTCAAAAAGTGATTTGGTCCAAAGTGTCAAAGTACGAATGCCTTTCATAAATATGTCGCGAAACCGTTCATGTCGTCGTCTTCCACAATAGGAAATTGTAACTTATTCATTCAGGTATAAAAAGAGAAATCAACCTTTCAAAACGGCAAAATGAGGTTAGACTACTGTTTTGCCAAGCAATGACGCCTTCTAATCATGATTTAAATACTAACCGCCCGATTATTCACCGGTTATTTAACCAACCCCTTAACCACGGTTAAGTGAATGGTGCAACGAAGTTTTCTGGATTAGCCAATTTAATCACGATTAAAATGCTAACCCACGTTGGTGCAAACGTTTCTTTATTATCTATGATCATGGTTTTCATGGTAACTATGCGAGCGACAAAGTAAAAAAACGCTCGCTTCTCGGAAAAGTGCAACTTTGCGCTTTCTTTTGGAAGCGCAAATTTGTAGTTTTCGCTTGGTTGTAGAAAAATAATTTTGTTTACTCCAGAAAAAGTTTTTGGCGGTTGGTTTCTTTTCTATAAACGCTATCCAACTTGGCGCATTTATATACCCAACATTAAAATTAAAATATTGAAATATTTGGGGTAGAAACATTTTAGTTGAAGCTAATCATTCAATTTTTTTAGTTTCTTCAAGAAACTTCCTTGACCCATTACTGGTATTCTGCCGTGCTTAATGAAAACGCCGTAACCAACAATTTTGCGATTTTTGGTTTACGGCATTTTCTACTAGAACAATTCATCCTGCGCTTGTCCAGGGTACTCAAAAAACCGTATCTATATATATATACGGTTTTTTGAGTACCGGGGATAGACGCAGGATGAATCGCAAAATTGTTGGTTACGGCGTTTTCATTAAGCACGGCAGTATTCAAGATAATTGAACCTTCACCTCGCCAAAGATTATGTTTTGAGTGCGTTTGACCAACTTCAAATATATACAGACAGCTGTATCGACCTATATTGGGTCTCATCAGTGTCGGACAACTTGGGTTTTCCGCTCTGAACTATAAACATTTGAGGAGCATCCGTGCAAAACTGGCTATATCCACTTTAATAAAATGTTGGGAAAATGGCAAAAACTCTTGGTTTCCTGGCCTTTACAGATAAAAGAAAAAGCAAACTTGAGTTTTGTGGGCTTTGTGGTACTTGATTTATAAGACATACTTTCGTTTTTAAAAACTTTATATTAAGGCCAAAATTTCAAAAAATGTTTTGTATATAGCCGGTTTTGCTCAAAAACCGAATAAAAAACGAACAAAATGAGAAAAAAAACCTTTATTATTCAAAAATATTAACAAAATAAATTAAGTGCAAAGATGAAAAAACAGAACAAATTTTAGTAGTAGTATTGACATATCCAAGCCACATGCTAATCATCATTATTATTTGTTGGATATAGCCGGGTTTGCTATAAAAACGTGAATTTGGCCGGTTTTGCTTCTAAAGCTACCTTTTAAATGGGATTTTAACATAAATATAGTCAGATTTAAACAGAATCATCTTGGTTGTCGATAGAAATGAACCCATGCGAAATCAAAAAAAAACAAATCTGAATAAAATGGATTTAGCCGGTTTTGCACGGATGCTCCTCATTTATACAGTGCATAGTCAGTGCATTTAAAACCTAATCTAAAAGTTTAAAAGCGCGAAGTGAACTGCCACCCTACCTGTCGAAGTCACGGAACCACCCACCTAAACAGATAGTTAATCGCAGTATGAAGCTGGAAGAAACCAATTACAAGGGGACAATGCGTAAATAAGAATTCACCGAGCCTACGGGTGTGTTAATACTTTCCCAAGTGAAAAATCCGTAGAAAACAACAAGAATAAAAGAGTTGAACAGGGTTAACGAACCCCTACATTAAATAGACCAAAGATACCGAATGCACAGGCAGTATAGGACGTGACAAGTAGTATTTAATAAACACATAAATCTTATGTAAGTAATCAAACCATTTTCTAATCTTTGCCTTAAATAAACAAACTGAGAGACCTTCTCGAGTATAAAATAAATAAATAGTAGAAGCAGTAAAACTAAATACAAATGAAATTTCTTAAATAAGAAAAGAAAACGTAAACACAATTTCTACCACAACGAATAGTCGTTTTCAATAAATAGTTCCTACTATTTAATAGTTAAATTAAATAATTATAGAGATTGCTTAGGTGAGCAAACAAAAACAATTCCAAAAAAATTTAAACCAAACCCATTAATTATTAATGACTGTTGCATTCGGTAAAATTTGTCTAACCATTAGCGACTGCCTTTCCGCTGGGACAAAGAGTCAATAACTCATAACGAGTCATTTTAAGTGTTTCTAAGAGTGTGGAAAAGTAAAAACAACACCCCAGTGTGGCAACAACTGCGTGCAGCAGATTCCGAATTCCAGCAGACCGGACAGAGACCCAGATGAAATACAAGACCAGCAAGGATGTCCAAGTAACGTACTAATAACCCAGGCCTCATTCTTGAACCCCAATTGAATGGGGTCATTACTAATACCCTGATTGAGGGGGAGTCCGGATTGTACCTAGTTTTGGGTCAGTTCAAGGCCCCCAAAAACCAACTATTGTCCCTCCTTGTCCTTCACTCCACTAGCCTAAATCGGGGGTATGGTCGGCCCGGCAACAGAATTCCGGGAATGGCCTTTACCATCGACACTGTCATCCACGACCCTCTAGGGAAAATTACCTGCCGGGGTGAAAATTCGGATCCACCAAACACAGGTAACGCTGTGCAGTAGAGGGATACGTATAGAACCGAAAGGGGGTAAAATAACCCTAGAAGATCAGTGTAAGGCGTAACCGATGGGACCTGCCATACGTTCTTATACTCATACTCTTACTCAAATCTATAATTGCGGCAGAACTTTAATTTATAAATGTACTAAAATAAATTGAAACCGCGGTGTCGCAAGTGTTCGTGTGTCGACAGGCCAATACACAATAGTTGGGGCATCTAGACTACGGTGTCTGGTGTTAGTGTGTGTGTATCTTTGGAATAGGTAGCTTTACGCCGTCAATGTACGTCTATCTCTTGAAGACACATTATGACCAAACAAAGAAATAGAAGATTCACTTAGAGGCGGCCGCGGCCCTTTAAAATTGTTAGATTAAAGCGTCGCGCATATGTAAATACATCTATCTCTAGCACCTCTTAAACTATTTTAAATATGTAGCTCATTCAATCCACTTGTCCACCAAGCACACCACATCGGGTAGGTACACGAAGCAAGAGAAAACTGCTGCCGCGGCATGACGGGAAGACTTGGGTGTTTTCGCTTTTATTTAAGAGTGACACTTTTATATGTTTGTTCGGTGCAATTATCTTTTTTGATAGTGAAATGGATACAATTGATGTGTCAGCATGTAAACTCTGTCTTTTAAATGGAACATTCCTAATAATCTTTACCGTTTATATTTCCAAGGCTTCGGGAGTTCTACAAGAGTCTAATATGGGACCTTTGTTATTTTTAATTTTTATAAATGACCTGCCTAATTTTATTGGGTGCTTTAAACTGTGATTCGCAGATGACCTTAAGATTTATACATCAATTAAGTCCTTACCAGATTGTATTTGTCTACAATCCAATCTTGAATTTGTGTCCCTGTGGTGTAAACAAAATAGTCTAAAATTAAGTATTTCAAAATGTAAAGTTTTAACGTTAATACAATCAGGGATCTGCGTGTTGTCTTTGACTCGGTACTGTCCTTTGTACAATTGAGACACTTGATTAATGTTGATACCCTAAGCAAAAGAAGGGATAAATTTGATATGCATTTCCTATTTAAACTTTTAAATGGGATTATAGATAGCCCTGAATTGCTTGGCAGAATTAATTTTCAAGTGCCTCAGTTAACACTAAGAAATAAAAATCTTTTTTATATATGTCACCATAATACAAACTATGGTTATTATGCACCATTACATAGGATGTGCAGAAATGCAAATTCTTTAAATGTAGATTTCTTTGGCAATACTCTCCAGTCCTTCAAAAGGTCTTTAATGTAAAATTGTAATGATTACTTTTGTTTATATCTAATGGTAAATCCGTCAATAAAGATATTTATTTATATATCAATAATGATAAAGTCTTCTCTTAAAATGCTTGGTTTTATTATTAGAACGCCAAAAAATTTCACAAGCATTAATTGATTAAAAATATTGTACTATTCTTTTTAAGATCTAGACTTGATTATGGGTGCCTTATCTGGTACCATTATAAGAATAGTATCGAATCAGTACAAAGGAGATTTGTAAAGTTTTTGTCTTTTAAAATAGATCGACGCTACCCCGAGAAAGGCTCGGATTTGTCTGGATTTATGACCAGGTTCGATATCCAATTTTTAGAATTTTATCTGTAACTTTTTTATATAATTTGTTGCACAATAACGTTGACTGTAGTGATCTTTTATCATAAATTAAGCTCCTTGTACCTAGTAATACTCGAAACCAGCAAACTTTTTTATTCCCAGAGCAAATACTAATTTACTATTTGTCACCAGTTTTTGTTATGTGCAACAACTTTAATAGCATTTGTGTAATGTGTGATATTTACCACTTTTCTTTAAAAAATATTATATAATTTATCTGTTAATTTGAATGTCCTTCTTGGTTTTGTATTGTTGGGCAATAAACGTTATTATTATTATTATTATTTTCTTCTCTTCGAACACTTATGTAAAAATTTTAAAGGCAATACCTAATGTAGCAAAAAACTAATTTTACCTTTAGCTTTTTCAAAAATCTGATGAAGCAATTATGAGTACGTTTTGCGGGATTTTCGGGCGTGTATAATAAACTGCAATTATATATAATTTCTACATTTCTACATAAATATGGGCTAATTTGGTGTTTCGTTTTATAAAACAAAACACCAGCCTAGCCTTGTATCCTTATAAATATATTACCTGAACTTTTATTGGCAAATTTGAATTGGGAAGTTTACTATTGGGTTCGACATCACTTTTAGAAGCTGCAATTGTAAATGAGTATTCTGATGTTTCTTCGTAGTGTAAATCTTTTAATTGCGAAATTAAAATATTTTCTTTATTCCCTGTTACTTTAAAAAATTCAGTAATGTTGGTTTTTTCTAGTATATAATAATATATATCTGTTTTTTCATCAACGTCTGACTCCCCATATGTAGCAGTAAAATTTAGGCTACTTGTCTGTCCATTTTGTACTTCAAACATCTTAATTGTCATTGGACTTGTATCAATAAAATATGGATCGGTTACTTCGAAAAACCTAATTTTTAAAGTTGCTTCACTAGTGCCGCTCGGTTCGTCTGGTAAAAAATCTTCAAGAGTTGCACTTATTTTAAGCTAAAAAGATTGTTTTAACAAATAAATATGCTAAAATTTTTGACTTACAGAATATGTTTGATCATTATCTTGTTTGTATTTTTCTGTGATTTGTAGTTGACTTTTACAATTTGCAAGTGTTTTTAGTTTAAATACATCCTTTTCATTGCCATCTAAAAAAGAACAAAAGTTATTTTAATTCCATTTTTCACGAGAACCATCCCCTTTTGCACATGTTCATCTTCAAATAAATCAAGATTATCAATAATTTTATTATTACCTATCATTGTCAAAAAATGGTTTTATACTTAATGCTTAAATTGTGAGAACTAGGCTATTACTTTGTCTTAATGCAAAGTATTACCCGCATAGTCACGTTTTTGGTCTGGTGTATGATTTTTAATCCCGCTATGACGTGTAGGCAAAGTTCTGTAGCACACCTAGTTGGCGACGTCCTTTGGGCGGTGTACCTGTTGCTTAAATAGCAGCGGCCAGCAGCGTGTTTCAAGTGTGCTTACAAACTACATCTATCCTACACTGTTGATGTCTCATAAGACAGAAACAGGCTGTTTGTCGCTGCCTGTTTGTGTAGCACGCAACTTTTATGATCTGTTTTAGCAAAAAGCACGGGGACGAGGTAATAGGCTAGTCCTCATTATAATTATTGTTGCGTCATATCTTTAAAAAACAATAAGCAACAAGCATCTACTCGTATGTTATCATTTTTTGTGAACCAAATAACTATAATAAACATAATAGTAGTAAATATGGAGTTATGTATTTATAGAATAACTACTAGGGCGGCTCTAAAAAAATCCCAGTTTTTTTAAGCACCTTTTTAAGCACCTACAAAAACCTAAAAACCTAATTCCATTTTGCGCTATATATATATATATATATATAGCTCGATTAAAAAGTTTTTAGAGGTCGCTCAAGATTTTTAAAAACTTTCAAAATCGTCAAAAATTGAATTTTTGTTTTATTTAAATTTTTTTTCTCGTCTCGATATTATTTTTTTGGTTGAAATTAATAAAAATTCTGTAAATTTCAAATTAATATTTTGATTTCTAAAGGTCGCTAAAAGTTTGTTGAGAGGTCGCTCGAAAACATTCAAAATACTCTACTTTGAAAGTTAAAAAAATCTTGAGCGACCTTTAGAAATCAAAATATCGATTTGAAATTTTTAGAATCATTACTATTTTTAAATAAAAAAATAATATCGGAACCAGAAAAAAAATTAAAATAAAAAAATCCAATTTTTGACGATTTTGGAAATTTTTAAAAATCTTGAGAGACCCCTAAATTTTTAATGGAGCTGATTTTTTGACAGGGCTCTTAAAACATGACAAACCAACATATTTTCACAAGAGACGAGAAATAAAAATATTCTTTTTTTTTTGGGCCACCCTATATATATTATTGTTGTATAGCCGTTTTATGTATATATATGTATATTAGACTGGCCAAAAAAAATCGACTATTTTTTTAAGTCAAAACGAAATTTAATCTTGAATAACTTTTGATGGAGTGAATTTAGCCAAAAATGATATGATTTTTGTAGAGCATTTGATTTCCCATAAGAATATTTATCGGTTTTTTCAGGGTACTGATTTTTACATGAATTACAAAATTCCAAAGTTAAAAGATCAAATTGTAAAACTATACCAATTTTTAAGGCATGATCTTCATCTGACGGGAAATTCCAATAAAACCTTTTTTGTAGAGCATTCAATTTTCTTCAAAAAATATTTTAAGTCAATTTTGTTAAACTCAATGATTTGGAAGTTATGGGACAAAAACATGCATACCGTTCCATTGAAAATAAACAAGTTATTATTGTTTGAAGTTAACCAAATTTACCACGATTTTTCTCTGGTTTTTGATCATAAATATGAAAATTTCAGACATGGAATCTTTAAGACAATGTTTTAAGATTCCAAAAAACCTTACAGTATACCAGCAAACCGAATATCAAAAAAGTTATAAGCAATTTTTAATGAAGGTGCAACTGTCAAAATTTTACGAAAAAAATTATTAACTCGAAAACTATTAAGTTTAGGTATAGAGAATAGTACAGCAATTTCAATAAGAATTTCATGAGGAATTTAAAAATAAAAAAATTTACAGGGTGTTCCATTAGAAATAACAAAGTTGATGTCGCTTCCGGTTAAACCGGAAAAGAAATTTTATTCAAGATAATTTTAAAAGGTAGATTAAATTGTACAATAATTGATATAAAAATTTCAAATTGATATCCTCAGCCGTTCTCCGTAAACGTCTAAGGTACCATCGCTGGTGAGACACCCTGTATATATGTCCCCCAGAGACGCATTTTTTTTTGCATTATTATTTAAAGTTAAGTTTTTATGGAACTTATGGAACAAAGTATTTTCTGTGGGTTTCATATAAATCGAGCTTTAAACAAGTTTAATATCTTTAAACTGCTCAAAATCAGGTTTTTGGACTTGCCCTACTTTGTCTCTGAGGTACAGAATATGTAAATAGAAAATTTCTAGTCAACAAATTGCGCGAGATACGCAAAAATGACAGAAAAATTTTTCTGCTGTTAGACACAGATTCTGGAAAACCCACACTGCCTATAGCCAGTATACAGGCTGTTTCTCCATATCGATTAATAGGAAGCTGATATAACAATACACAATGTCCTAGAACTTTTATGGGTTAAAGGAACAATCGTAATAAAGAAAATGAAAAGCCTGGTGAACTTGAAGACAGGGATTGGTTCAGACCAAAACTATAATCAGTAATCTGTCTGATTAAAATAAAACCTTGACGAAATCATAACTGGACACTGCAGACCAGAGGCGGATTATCCCTAAGGCAAACTAGGCACGTGCCTAGGGGCGCGAGGTTACAAGGGGGCGCGAGGTTTGATAAAAACGCAAGTTTTTATGAACACCGAGTAGGTATTTATTAAAGAAACATTTACAACTTATTGGTTTGATTATTTAATCAGCACGCGCACGTGAGCTTGAAACGAAGAAAATAATTAACATAAAATTAAAATTGAGTATGAGTATAAGGAACGTATGGCAGGCCCCATCGCAACGCCTAGGAGGTCGAGGATGACAGTTTGGATGGTTAGGCCACTCCCGGAATTTTTTTGTCGGGCCGGGCCATACGCCAGATTAAGGCTAGTGGAGTACGGGACAAGAAGGGAAAACATTTTGGTTTTTGGGTGACATTGGACTGACCCAAAACTAAGTAGTATCCGGAATCCCCCTTAACCAGGGATTTAGTAATGCCCCCATTTATATGGGGTTCATGAATGAGGTTTGGTTGGTTAGTACGCTGCTAGGAACTACCTTTGCTGGTCTTGTAGTCTGCTGAAATTCGGAAACTGTTGTGAGCAATTGTTCAGTGTAGGGGTCGAGAACTATCGATGGATAGTTGTCTTCATTTTGTGGTAGAAATTGTATTTACGTTTTCTTTTTCTTTTCTAATCATTAGAAGTTACATTTATTCTATATAATTGCTCTTAACTTTGCTTTTTTTAATTCTCTTCTACAGCTAGCAGCATGCAATGCCTAAAATTTAGAAGTGTTTATTGGTTTATGTTTAAGTTAGGCAAATATCGGAACTGGTTGTTTATTTTATTTTCGTTCGTTAAGTTTTAAACATTTAAATTGTTTGGGGCTGGCCTCTTGTTAATAATGATTGATTATTGTTAGGTTTTTGTTGCGAATTTGCGTATTAGGTCATGCGATTAATTGGTACTTATCAGATTTTTGCAGATGATGGCCCCTTCCACTCTAGGCTAGTTTGTTCCTTACATAAGGTGATTCATATTGGTCTAGGGTTAGATCTTTAGGTATGCTGTCATATATCACTTAATTACTTCTGTGTCTGTATTCACTATATTCACTTGTTGGGGTTGCTTTATAATGCACTAATTTAATGTTTCTATTAAGACTTTGGGCACCAGGTACATTGATTTTCGTTGTCCAAGTAGTAAATCTTTGCTCTAATTTCGACCATATTTTCCTTAAACTACACTGTATATGAGCGATTTTTATGTTTCCTTAAAACTTATTATTCGGTACACTTAAGAGCGATCGAATTCGAGAGCACATTTACTCGACTGGCCGTCTGTATCGGTACTCCTAATTAACATAAAATTAAAATTAAGATGTAAAAGATGTTGTAGAAGTTAATTCTATAGAATTGTATATCACATATTTCATTCACGCCTAAGGGTAAGTACACGTGTCCTGGCATATAACTAATTATAAGTATACGCCAGGACACGTGTACTTACCCTAATAATATTATAACTTCTTCGTGCAAAAATTACTTAACCGATTGTGATAAAACTTGGTATGTAGATAGCTGGAGACCGAAATTTCCACGGTATGGGGCATCACGCGGGTGAAACCGCAGGGCACATCTAATTATTATGTAAGTACTAGTTAAAAATTATAATATATGGCCGCTAAAGGGGCGCCGATGAGGTGCTTGCCTAGGGCGCTCTCGATATTTAATCCGCCTCTGCTGCAGACTAAACAAAACAAACATCTATACACAATAATAAAAGTAGTCCTCTCCGCAGAGCCTGTAATTGGGGGGAAGATAGTGTAACACACCTGACGTCTTTTGGATTTCTTTCGGAAGCTCAGATAACTGGAAAGCGTTTGAAAAATCTATGAAAAATGAAATCTTGGAGATAGTACAAAGGGCCAACTGTGGCCTAAATGCATGCAGCCACGACGTGGCTATCCTTCACCCAGCAAATCCAATACAATCCACTTTAAATCAATCTACCTTTTGATGAAAATTTGGGTTTCTACGGGAGATATGCATATATGGAAAATCCTTAAGAGGCCGTTTTTGTGGAGAAAATATTTCAAAAATAAAGATTAATGGTCGTTCCACCGTATACTAAACTTTGAGATTAATAAGTTTAAATCAGTTCATTAACTTATATCACTTTTTCTGATAGATTTTAAAGAAATCATTGATTTTTACCCTTAATTTGTTTAAATCGCGATGCGCATCCTCCTACACTTTATTTGATGTACCTAATCTAATAAAATCCAATTAGGTGTTTTTTGTAAATGATTCGCTATAGCGCGCTACCATGGCGACGCTACAGTGTGATTAACTTTGAATGTAAAACATTTCAGACGAAAAAATATTGACTGTATTCAAACCA